GTATAGACTTTACTTTCCTAGTTTTATTAATATTTTTTAAATAATTTTCTATTACTAAAAGAAGAGAAAATTAACTAGTAGTAGTAGTAAGTTTATAGTAAAGATAATAAGAAGAGATTTATAGCCGATTAGACTTACTAGGAAAAGTAATACTACTACTATTCTAATAAAGCTCTATAATATAGTACTATTAGATTAGCAAAAATTAATAACGTATTTCGTATAAAGTCTAACTAGATTAATAGCGCTTTGTCTCGGAGAGTCGTCGTCGTCTCTAGTTATAGTCTCGGTGTTATTACAAATACTATAGTTCTCCTCTATTCGAGGGCATTTACGGAATATTAGCGACGAGAGCTGCGCTCTTACTAGCAGTGCGAGTCTCGAGTGCGAGATCTAGGAGAGGTATGCATCGAGCCAAGGTTGGCCTAACATGGCCAGCCTAAGGGCATAGATCCATTTCCATATTCGAGGATCTGATACCTCCAAGCTGGTCTGGTGATGCCGAAAGACGCGATGACGCTCGAGGCCTGCAATATTAGCGTTGAGGGAAGTGCAGTGGTGTCTGGCGATTCCTGCTCCGACAACTGCAACGAGGAAGCCGCAGAATGCAATGCCTTTACCCAGCTCAGCTGACTCCGATTCACATCGGGCCGCGATCTGGAAGACAGCCAGAGGAGCGAGACGAGCTGGCGAGCAGTATCCCGCGCACGTGAGGAGGTCCGAAGATGCAAAGCATTGTCGAACAATGGCGATTTGTAGTGCTCTTTAGAATGATCTGGCTGGAAAGGCTGTTTTGAAATGTTCCAGAAGAAGGCACAATGCCAGCGCCAATAATCAGAGAATGCAACCAGTCAAAAGGCGACAATGTTTAATGTAGGCTTGAGAGAGGCACCGCTTTTGAAGACGACTCGTGCGTTTTTGTTTTTCTCCTTTTCCAACATTCCCGTACCATCTATATCATCTGAAGTCGACTGATGGCGAGATCGAACAGGACCTAAGTTGGTATGCCAGGCGATTGCGATTGAAACTCGATCTCGAAGTCTTCAGCATTCTGTATACCAGATCCTGTCGGCAGGAGCGCACTTCCTTCTACACAGAGTGCGCACAGAGAGCTGTCGCCAAAGTGCACTTCCTTTCTACCCAGAGTGCGCACCGAGAGATGTCGCCGAAGTGCACGCCGTTTCTTCAGAGTCTCATGATCTTCTCCAAACCTCTGTAATCCTCAGAGTCTTGCGAATCGCTCGAAGGGAATAGCACGCTGCACGTTCTCTCCCGCCCACCTGTTCACTTCTTCTTCTTCTTCTTCCTCGTCGTCTTCCCGTTCTGGGATGCTTCCCACTCCTCAATTGCTGCCCGACCAACATTCGCCTTTGGTTCCCACGAGTCGGACCATTTTTGGCCAGTGGCAGGATCTGCGCCATCCCATCGAATTAGGTAGTGTCTTGCTCGTTCGTCCAGGATTGCCTCGACGGCCCACACATTCTCTGTATCGCCATCATCATCATCTTCTTCTTCTTCTGTCGCAGCGACCGCAGTGCCGCGGTCGGCTGTGCTGCGGACACGCCCGCTCGCTTTTCGGTGGCTCGCCGGCCTCGCCGTCCTCCTCCAATGCTCCAAGGCCGCGCGGTTGAGGTTGCTTCGTGGCTCCCATGAATCGGGCCACTTGGAGCCGGTGGCGGGGTTTGTGCCCGACCATCGTACAAGGAAGCGCCGCGTGCTCCGGTTTTCGTCGATGATGGCTTCGACGTCGAATTCGCGCGTGTCGTCCTGCTGTGGTGGTAGCACCGGGTCGAGGGATGCTGTGGAGCGTGCACGTGAAGTCTTGGAGACGAGGTGGGATTTGGCGCGGCGGGCGTAGGTGAGGGTGCGCTTGCGAGTAGTGGCTGGGGAAAAGATGGGCGAGGACGCACCGCCCGATGCGGAATCGTATCGGCGCGCCATGGCGACTGCACGTTGATGAATGGTGCTCCGAGTAGCCGGAAGCAACAAGGGTCGAGTGAGTGGAGCGCTGACGATGGGCCGGGTGGAGAGACACGGACCATAGCCGATTCGCGAGCGGAGCCTCCTCCGCCTTCGCGACTCGGCTGTGCTCTCTCTCACGGACCTCCGCTCGGCTCCCTTCGGAGATCTTGTCGCCAGTGTTCTCGCCGTCATAATTCATCACACAAGGCTTTGACAGGACGATGTATGTATACGACGGCCCACGGAACATTCCTCATCAACGCCGCCCTGCCGCAAATTGGAGGAGCTTCAAGACGCTCGGCTTGGTGGACTGATGTCGAGGAAGACAAGCAAGGTGCTACTCAGCGGGTCGAGCCCTTGCCGCTTGAGGGACTGCTTCTGCTCTGCTCCTGACGTTTGTGCAACATCCTTCCGCTCCACGACAGTTCCCTTCCTCATTCATATCACACGCCCAATCGCGTCACCAGGACCGCGCTATGGATTGGAGACTGCTACAACGGGTGGAGTCTGCCCCGCGAAGCCGATTGCCCCGACGACATCCGAGAGCTGGACGGCGCACTCAAGGTTGGCGGAAAGACGACCGTGGAAGGCGGCGCAACGAATGGCGGCATGCAGATTCTCAAGGCGTCCATGAAGCGTCGCACCAAGGACATCCTGAAGCTAGACGGCGCACTCAACTTTGGCGGAAAGACGAATGAAGAGGGTGGCGCGATGATTGGCGATATGCAGCTCGTCAAGCGTGAGCTTCTCGCAGCGGAGTGCGATTTCGATCCGGTCGAGAAGGAATACCACGACACGCTGCAGTTCGGACATGTGAGGTGGTCCTGCTTGGCGTTCAGCTCCAACCCCGAGTACTTCATCTCAAGCACGGGTTTGGACAAGTATGCTTCCACGATCAGAAAGATGATGAGGGCTCTGTCCGAGGAGGACGATCGCAGCCACGTCAGGCACGTGCTGAGAAGCAAGGCCAAGACCTCGAACGTCCGCTCGAATGTGGACTTCGCGGAAAATCGGCGCGCATCCGTCCGTGTCTTCGTGGTGTGTCACTCGTTGGAGCGTCCACAGATGCTACTCGCGATGGAAGAACCAGGGCTACATCCTCTTTTGAAGGCGCTCGAGTCGTCCTACCCGTTCAGGGCCGGGTTGTGCAGCCTTCTCTCGGCTACAAACGTGTCCACATTCTGCAACTCGCTGAGTATTACACTGACGAACGCCGAGAAGAACTCGTATCTAGAGCCGATCAGGGATTTGCCCGAGCACGAGAATTGGCTCAAAAAGAAGTTCAGAAAGGGCTACAGAGTCTCGTTCGTGGGCGACGATGTTCTCACGCTCTCCAACCGCATATACGATCCCGAGAGGTACTGGTCCAAGAACAGATAACCGAGACAGACGACATAAGATCGATCTTGCTGAGCAGGGTGAGAAGCATCAAGCCGCCCGAACCCGCTCCGATAGACTCCTCGAAGCTGCTGACGGTCGACACGAGGATCAAGGATGAGTGCATGATCGCCACCATGGACTTGTTGAAGAAGTCGAAGCCCCTATCCGACGGCCCAACATACGACTGCGTGGCGAGGTCCATGCTTATGACCGCCCGCTCGTGCCCGCCCGAAAGCGTGTGCATAGGCATCCTCCCGCACAGGAATGGTATACTCCCTCCCGTCACGTCCGCGCTCGCCTACTCGCCGCTGTCGTGCATCGGATGTACGCTTTCGGTTCAGGGCCTGGCCCGGATCATGTCCATGGTGGCCGTCGAGAACGACAATGCGTACAAGTCCAAGCTCAAGGACGGTGCCCGGAGGCCATTCCCGACTCTAGAGGGGTGCTACACGAAGTTCGCGTCGACGCTGAGGGCATCATACTCGTGCCTAGATGCCCGTGTGGCGTTCGTCAACTGCTGCCCCATCCTCGTCAGCAACACGGCCAAGCGCGTATGTGCCATGTCCTTCTTCTCGGAGTTGTTGGCGTCGATAGTGAAGATCTTCGACAACTCCTACAAGCTGGTGGTCATATCGATGGGCGCAGTTCCAAAGACGTCCGTGAACGACATGCTCAAGTCGTACCCGAACCTGAAGACTTCCTTCACACACTACAACACCTCGGACCCAGCCCAATTCGAGCACATGAACGTGAACAAAGTCTCAGCCTCAGAGCCGATCTCGCCGACAGCCAGGGAGAACGAGCTGCTCATGTACGATCTGCTCATGTATGATCTCTGCGACCTCGAGACGGAGCTGAACATCAAAGCAACCTTCACGTGCAACTTGTACCTGGTCACCACCCTCAAGATAGGGACGAGTGTGGACGGGATATCGAGACTGGTGAAAGCACTCGTTGGGCACACACCCGACAGCTTGTTCAAACCCTTCGTAGACAGGTTCAAGCAGTTCAACGCCAGCCAGGCGATCCTGAACGCAGTCAAGATGGACTCGCAGATGATAATCGCCATGAGAGCTAGAGCGGAGGTGGGAGCGGCAGCCGACAGGACCATCGGGGACGACATGGGCAGCCCCGCTCCGAGCTCGCGGGACCTCACCTTCAGGAAGAGGAACGACGATCAGCCGACGCTCGAGAGCCAGCAGACGAGCCAGTTCCAGGCGCCTGCACGTCCCAAGAGCACGCACCTGTTCGCAAGGGCGAGCGCGGATCAGAGCGCGTCGCAGAACGGGGGCACGAACCAGGAGGGTCAGAGACAGCACTTCCAGAACGGGAGGATCGTGACTATGCCTCTTACACGTAGCAAGTCCTTGATCCGGCCCACGCACCAAAATCGACAACATGCCGGCATCGGACGTGCATGCGGTGTCGACTGGCATCAACAAAGTCCAGTGGGTTCGAGACTTCTACATCACACAACTGCTGTCGGTCCTGGACCAGGGTTGCACTAGCTGGCCGGAGCTCTATGTGGAAAACAAAATCCTGGACCCAATCCTGACCTCGCGTTCGCCGCCGCCGTCACAGACCTCGATTTCGACTGGTACGTGGACAATGACTATGGAGCAGCTGCTAATGTGGCTAAGTCGCTCGAATTGCTGCATAGGGAAGGTCGGAATCGCTGTCGCGGCGGCAATGCCTGAGGTCTGCCACGCGCTGCATGTACTTACGTTTCCATCTCGTCTCGGACTAGCCTTCTAGAATACCATGTCATAAACCGCACTTTACTGGCAAGCAGCAAGGGGATTCTCTCATGCAGAGTCTGCTACACGCTCGCGATGAAGTGAAGCAATCGTTGATCTATTAGAACAGGAACCAGCGAATAAACGACGAGCGAACCATTGTCAGGCCCATCCACTCAGCACTCAGTACCACCAAAGTCTCCAACTCGGCCATGGTGCCGCCTGCCCAGGTCACGAAACGCAGTAATCCTGAAGCATACATTGCCGATTGCTCGAAGAACCATTGCATACACCGGTCACGAGTGCCACGGAAGAGTCAGAGCGGGAGCATGAATCGTCGAAAGAGCCAGTGCGATATACAGAGCCGTTGTCAGGGAGCAGCGACTACTGCCATGTCGCTCGACAAAATCACCCAGAGGACATTAGGCGCAATTACGGAATGGACAAGAAGCATGTGCGTCTTGGAAACCTCTAGCAGGAGCGCATATCAGAGGTCTCTGAGCGGCATCACCGCAGCAATCAACGCCGCGTCTCATTGAGTCAACAATCACCGATCAGGTACGAACACTTTACTGAAGATGACCCGTTGACGCAGACAGTCCGCGAGAAAACAGGCTAAGATCCGCGCAGTAAGAACTGGCATTCAGCTTAGAACGATCTTAGCACATAACATCCAAGATACGCCGGTCCCATCGCGGAAAGCGATCCTGAAGGCCGCCGTCGCATCCGGAATTCACGGATTGGGGTCGTGTCGGAAAGAGTTACCGGCGTCAGAAAACGGATCAGGCGAAGAACCAAATGAAGAAACGCCGGAAACAGCGAGGTAGACGACAGGTCTGACGCAACAAGCACCTGCGTTTGCCAACGAGAAGTTTCATGATCGCCAGTGTGGTCAGCACTAGTCTAGCAGGGACAACATCAATGGCTGCAGTAAGAAACTGCATCTTGCGCTCGATCATGTTCCTAGCAAGCAGCATCATTCTCGCTGCATTATCGCGCTGCAGTGTATCAACTTGCACCGCTTGGACGACCAGCGCTAACTTTAGCACCGCCATCGAACGAGTCGTCAGCTACACCGCAGCCTCAACCTTCTGAGCAGCCTCCGCGATCGTCCAAGCCGGGTATGCAGCAAGAACATCAGCAAGAAGATCCAAGGACCACAGCCGATCATGGCCCCTACTCAGATGGCCAATCTGTTGATGCTGGGTCCACCATTGATTGAGCGCTGAAGATACGCAGGCCAGCGACGACGACTGCGAGATTCGTCGGCCGAGGATCGCGTGTAGGCACGAGCGCGGCTCGGGATCCAATGGACGAATTCGTCGACCTTCATCAAAGAGAGGAGGACACGCATCATAGTCATTGCGAACGCACCGCACGGACGACTGCTGCGTCTACGCGGCGCCAGCGACGACGAGACTGCAGGCTCGCTGGTGGGCAAACACATGCTTCAGCATGTTTTTGGCGTCTTGGAGAGAGGGATCTTCAATACAGGGCTGGAAATTGTCATGCTTGGTGCGGAGTGTGGGACGTTGGCTGAGGCTGACCGCGTGACTCAGAAGCAGCAGTGAAAGCTGACTGCAGAGAAGGACTTGCGCAATCGAGCGTTCGTGGAACAACCCGGCAATTCTGACACAAGCAGCCCAGGCCCTCGTCAATGGCGAGAAGGGCTCGACCGGGTTGAGCAGTCAGATGAAGACAATGCTCGGAGCTATGAAGGACACACCAGAGCAATCGTCAACTACCATGAGCACCATGGTACCTATGGAGGTAGCAGCTCACCGACTGGATTCGGGGCAGCCACAAGGGCGTCCAGAGTTACCAATCCCAACCCCATCGCGATGGACGTGCTCACCGTTATCTGCAAAGGCAGCAAAACCGGAAGATTCAGCAACGAGCCCATTGAGACACCAACATTGCACCACAGTTAGCAGATCCAACAACTCCACCTTTCGCAATAGCCGCAGTCTCAAGGACAGCCACCAGCATATCAGGGGCGGCGCTCTCGTGATCAGCGCGACCCCGGTCAGCAGCACAAAAGGCAACAAACTTGGTACTGTAATGCTGTTCGCGTAAGACAGCAGCATCAATAGGAGGAATCAATGCAGAGAAGCTCGTGTTGAAGCACGGCGAGCGATGACATTATGTGATACTCAAATCTACAGTCCCTCGATTAGCCTTCGCCACTCTTTGAAGAAGTTGTTCACTTTTCAGGCGCAAGAGGGGTTAAGGGAAGCATGCAGTTGAGCAATCTTGCTGCTAATTCCTGCTCATCGAACAGACGTGCCTGGCTTCAGAGTCCACCTGTTCGATGGAACGGCTGTGACACAGCCTCGAACGACAATCTCCTCCGATTCTCTCACCAGCACACCGAGATCCGTGCCACTCTGCGGTACACGGATTGCTGTCAGCGACACGGATTGCCGCCTGACCCCTCTTACTGAATGCTTTCTCGTACAATCAGGCTCCTATGCCTGGCTGGTATAAGTCAGACGCTAGCGAAGACCACGCAACTGACTTAGTCGCGGAACATCAGTATCTCTTGCACAATCACTTCGTGAAATGCCGCTCTCTCATGTGAGTGTGCTTGAACGTGCGGTACTCTGCTCGTGAACGACAGTCTCGATCACAAGATAGTAGAGCCAGGGATCCGAAGAACGCTCTGAGATTTGAACTCCGGCTTGATCTCTATTCACGCACCCGAGCAACGGCGTCACTGAAGCTTCTACAACTGCTCAGAGGCTTAAGGCGATGGAAACGACTGCGCTGACTTGATCAGCGCACATCGGACACCCACCGCCCACATTCTGCCTTTGGCAGTTGTCATTGCTCGCTGACCACTGCAGTCCGGATTGCAATGATAGTCTGAGAGATGTTGCTATCGTGAGGCAGGTGTGAGATCTCTCCTCCGATCGAACTCCCATTATTGTATCACTTAGGCATCTGGACGAAGAAGCCGATGGAATAGGCCATCTCACATGTGCTGCTGTCTGGGACGCTGATCTCACGGCATTTGCTGATCTGGGCGATAAGAAGCGGAAGAAGCAGCAGACCCAACTGCACGAAAGGAATCCTTGATGATAAGTGATCTCATCAATCATGTTTCCGACTGCATAAGTATTTTCCTGAGCGCATACTTCCAATTCTCCTTCAGAAATTCCTCGTCATCACCTTCAACCAGAGGGCCCAGCTGCCTCCACGCCTCTTGATGGGTCGAGCCAGATCACCTCCAGACCTGGCTCGAGGGGACGACAATCGCAGTGTTGAAAGCTTCCGCGCGACAAACGCCGTGCTCTGATCTGCGATCGACAAAGGTGTAGGAGGCAGGGAGAGGAGCGAGAGCGAGGGCAGAGGCAGAAAGCCGGCTCGGAATGCCAACCGCGCGATTCGCCGGCAAAGAATTGCATGTCACTTGGCTCAGCGTGATGGCGGTGTTCTCAATGCATGCGGCCACGGCGGTTCTTTGGACGATGAGCACGGGTAGTGTATGCCGCCAATGGCGTCGACCGTGATCATGCGGGTCAATGCAAAATCTGCCGCAGCCGGTGACGATGTGTTGTTGTGGTCGCTGTTGTCGTGCCTGTCGTGACGCGACGTGGACGCGACGCGTGACACCGCTTTGTCGGCAAACAGACATGCGACCGATCACAAACTCATCACACCTCCGAGGCGAGCCACGCAGAACGACTTGTCCCATCCGGATCGCGAGCCCATCCCTCCAGGATCGAATCTACGACGAACTGCCCGCACCTGACTGCGGTGCCGGGAACGGGCAACTACACACAGAACGACGTCGAGCGATCGCAGTGGTCGCCGCACATCTCAACTCGAGCGACTTGCCTTCCACATGCAGCAATTTTCATGCCAGTATTGTGAATGTTCGGGGTCGATCGCACTCTCAGACTCTCGGATTGACAGCGCAGTTCGACTTCCACTCCAACGTCGGCTTCATCAGTTGTGGAGGGCCAGCCCACGAGACCAAATCATCCAGGAAGCGATGCCGAGTTGTATGAGGAGGTAGTGGAACATGACACAGGAAACCTTGGCGATTGTGCTGCATGCAGCGAAGGAGAGGATTGGAGGCTCGCGGACCCGGAAGCGGTGCAACAAGAGCATGTCGATCTCTCGGGTGACGATTCATCACATATTTCCCATGCTTGACGAACGAGGGACAGCCTTTGATCATTGCATGCAGACCCAGCTCGCTGGTTCAGCCACCACGCAAGTCGACACCTGGCCACAATCTGGAGAGCGGCCAGAAGAGCGGTGCGAGCTTGCGAGCAGTCTCTAGGGCGCGTGAGATAGCTCCAAGATCCAATCAAATCTGTCGCCGCATCCACGATATGATCTCTGCCCTTGAGCGCAGACACAAGAACCACAGTCGACATTCTATCGCTTGCCGCGCTTGCCTTTCTCCTCGCAGCCGCGTCTGTTCTGTCCTCCTGGTCTTTCTGCTGCCTGTCGTGTCTGCACCTGCACTGGCTATCGACTCGGCCCTCCCCACGCGGGATTTGCTGCTGCACCCACGGCTGCTCAAAAATTCTGAATGCAATCGACTGTGTGACAAGATGGGTTCGCTTTGAGGCGGGCGAAAGAATCAGCCAGAGCGTCTTAAGCGCTGCACACAACAGCCCGGACTTCCAACAATGGCGCGCCCACGCACCATTCCGTTCGGCCTGACAGGTTGTCCTGGCGCAGGCACCCGTTGCTCTGCAAGTCCCGCACGGCAATCCCGCGTTTTCGACAGACAATCGTTACAAGGCAGAGCTTTTGATCGAGCGTTCTCCTATGCGCCATGCTCGTCGCTGCTCTCAACGACGATGACGAGCCTAAACGACCCCTGTCAGTAGCCATTGGATAGGTACAGCGCCTTCGTGTTGTCCATTCTCCTCACAGTCATCGCCCGCAATTGTCGCCCCATTGCGGTCCCAGACGCGCATGTCGCACTGTTATATGAAGCCTGCACACGATGTCTGGGGTCACTACCGTCTAGGAGGCCCCAAGCAGCAGGGGACATTGCTCAGAACCTGCAAATGCGCGTAGGAAGAAATGACAAACAGCACCGGTACCCTTGTGCTGGCTGGGTACAAATTCACTCGCCACCCATCAGTGTTGACACTGTCTCCATCCTCCAAAGCTCGACTTTGTCACTTGGCTGGCAATTCCGAGACATCACACCCAGTCTAGCGAAACTCGAGACCGACCTCAATCCCTATCACAAGCTTTTCCAAAATTCGTTCACTACGCTTTTATTCGCAACTCGTCCAGCCATATATCCAGAGTCGAAACCCATCTCTACAAGACGATCATGAGCCTGGACTTCTATGCTAGTGGGTACCACCCGCATGAGCATCCAAGTCCGGGAGCTTCAGGCATTGTCAGTCACTATCGGCAGCTCCCTGCTTACGGTCGCAGTTACTACGAGCCGCAGCACGAGCCATATTTCGATCGCTTGTGTGCGAGGGCACAGACGCAAGAGCAGGATTCAGGCACCGTGCAATCAGGCAGCTCGCGAAGACGAATCCAAGTCGCAGTGAGTGGCTTGCCCAGTTTTTGAGCGAAGAAGCTAATAATTTATCAGTGCTCGAGGTGCCGCCGACATAAGATCAAGTGCACAGGTGATCCAGGCGACGGCAGTACCTGCTCCGCTTGCAAATCGGCGAAGGAAGATTCTTGCACCTTTCGCAGAGTAAGGTCTCGTAAAGGGATCTTGGTTTTCGTATCGACTGACATGCACTAGGTCGGCAGTCACGAAGTGCAACTGCACGATCTGCACGCCAGCAGCACTGACATTGGGAACGGTAGCTGGAACACAGCATCTTACCTCAACCGACGGTCGGACAGTTCCTATCACGGCAGCGACGGAATGCAAAGTGATGGACGACAGCGTTTCACGTGGAGCGGGCACACCGACTCCGATTCCTACAGCGCTTCTCCCGTCTTCGCGTCACCCGCGCCGATGAAGCATGACCGCTATCCTAACGATGCTCCACTGGTCGGATCATCAAATGTCTCAGCAGTGGTGTTCCCTCCGTTGAACATTGGCTCAATGCCATTACAGCTGCCGATGCCGGCAGCAACAGAGCAGTCGTGGCCTACCTACGATGCACTACAGCACACGATACATTCATCGACAGTCTTGCCTCCGATGCGACTGTCGGCACCTTCACACGAGCCTCAGGCCTCCATTGACAATCCAACCAGCCGGCGGAAGCCTTGGTCGTGTAGCAATGCCGTCGTCAATGGCGTTGCTTCCTCTGGCCAAGCTCAGAGCACTGGTTCCGGCAGTACTATACCTTTGGGTCACGTCTGCGAGACCTGCGGCGCACCTCGCCAATAGCCGTTGGAAACAATCCACGAAACCCGTGGGATTTACAGCGATTCCAGACTGGTCTGTATAGCTACAGCAGGGCGGTCGAGGCTTCTGATCTCAGCAATCAGGTGGGAAACGAGGCTTCGTCTTCTGACTTGCATCGCCACTCGTCATGTACGGCGCTGGAAAATCAAACTCAGGCAGCTGAATACCACATGGGACGAATCAATATCTGTCAAACAGCTTGGCCATCACTGACCCGATCTGGCGGCCAGCAAGGGTGCGTCCTCCATATTACATGCGCCGACCTTTGAATATCCCAGAAATCCCCAGAACAAACCCCACCCGAGCCGGCAGTCACAGAGCCTTTCTCACCGCGTTGCCTCCAAATGGCTTCCCTTCTCATGGCTTTCCGCGATACCTTCGCTTTGACGCCCCAGCCCAACACCTAATCGATACCAGCATCTTCAGTAACCACAAAGGCAACGACAGCGGTGATGATGATGAGTCTGCCTCCTCAAATATTGAATCTTTCGGCCAAATGTGCTCGGCTTCGCCGTCAACCTCAGACCTCAGGAATCGCGGCAGCGTCCCAATTGCAGTAATCTACCTGTTCCGTTCGAAGCCAACATGGTCAACGAAGGTCCCGCAGTCCTCACGCGTATTTGAACGTCCAGTCTCACCCAGTCTTCCTGCTCCACTAGCAGCGCTCGATTTGCCGAACGGGCGTTGGGATCACGGATGACATCTCTCGGAAGTACAGCGATTCATCCTGGAGCAAGCCTCTCGTGCAGTCGAGCGAGTCAGCGTCGCTGACATGCACGGCTTGATGGAGACTCCGGTGCACCTGCTAGGAGCGGTGTTGATGTTGAGGAAGCCCTGAGCCACTCGAACTCATTGCTATTGCGTCGTCGTCATCCTACCACCACGAGACGATCAGGTGTCTGGGGGAATTTTGAGCCAAGAAACAATAGCTGTAAGCTAGATTCGTTCGCCAATATACATTGAACCACTTTGGCCTATCGTCTCCATCCTGTTCACCAGGCAGTCTTATATTAAGTCCAATGCTCGGAAGTTTTGATCATTGGATTACGTGCTATTAGAACCCAAGTCGGGGCGGGCACAGAGAACCAACACAAAGTGCGCTTCACTCATAGAGGGTTTGTCCGACTCCTTGCCTGCCCTGCTCTCGTCATCGTCGGCGACTCATCTTATCCACGCTGGTTGCACTGTGCACCCGCGGTAGTGCAGACTCAAGAGATCATCAATGCGAAGCCGGATGTGCAAAATTTTGCAACTTCGACAAAGCGTCAGCCGCTTCTTCTGAGCCCGAACACATCAACGGAGCAGCCTTTCTTTTTTTTTTTTTTGTGGAAAGAAACATTCCCAGCGCGGCTTTCGACAGAAAATCTGCCAAGGAGCTCGACCAAGAGCGGAAGGTAACTTAGTCCTGGAGAGCTCGGCCTTGAATACCGGCGAAATTCGCAGCTGCAACGGACCGGCTGGCCAGCGTTTGCTTCGGGAATCTGGAACTCGTGTTTTCACCCTACGAAGGACCTTGATGTGTAACTGACGAGACGGGTGCGTCCAAATTTTGGGCTTCGCTGGGCTGTTGCATGCCATGGCTTCCGCGGTTAACCGCGTCGTGGCGTCGGGAAAGCTGCATGTCAACTCCGGACAAGCCTGTGCTTCAAAAACTGCAAACAAGATCTCAAAATCGCATCCCCAAAGGTCAGGCACCTGAAGCATAGCATGTGGAGATACCGAGAATCCATCCGGTGAAACACTGTCCTATCTTGGACGAGAGTCGATTTAGGCATTACGGACATGAGCTGCATCGTTTGTACTGAGGCAAGTGGCAGAAACGGCTGAGAAGGTCATTTAGGGAAGATTGCCCTGCTCACGCTTCGTCTTGAAGAGCGGCAATGGCGGGAGGACGTCGATTTGCAACCCCGTTTGTCAGCACCACGAACGGATTCGTCTCTGAAACCCTTCATTATAGCATGAAATTCTCAATACGATCGTGCTCCTTTCTACAATCTTTGGTGCTTTGCTGCCTTGCATTTACTGGAAAGTGAACCAACATGACACCTGCAGCGACGAATGTCAACTACAGGAACGACTTTCCTGGCATGAATCCGCGGCGCGTGTACATCGATCTCACTGGGGACGAGCCAGTGGAATGCGACCCCTTTGACCTAGACCATCGATCAAAGAACCACAACCAGCGCTGCGACAGTCTGGATCATCCATCTTCATCCGCGACGACAGAACCAACGAACGACTCTGAGCATCACACGCACTATACAAACGATTGGGGTATCTGTGCAATATGCCAAGAGCTTCTCGCCAACAGCGGCACTTGCACCACCGATGGAATCACTCTCACCACATTCCGCACCAAGTGCAAGCACGCCTTTCACACCCAGTGCTTTACACAACACATTGTCGAAACCGATGTTCGTGTCACGGCCGCCACTGTCGGACATTCGTCGATTCTTACGAATCGTCGCCATGTTGTCGTCGTGCGCTGTCCTCTCTGTCGAGAGATCGAGGTAGAATTCCTGCGAAGCGAAGTGGGGAGACAGATCTGGGATGCTGTAGCGAAAGCGATGGAGGATGAGGTGACGGATCTGTTTGAGCCAGAGACGGAGCGGACTACAGGAACATGAAGGGAGATCGAGAAGTAAATGACATCTTGGGAAGGGAAGAGGACACTGGCGCTAGCGAATGTAAGACGTACTCGGGGAGGGGCAACAAAATTTGGAGCATAAGGCAAGGTCGTAGGGTGGTTTACATCAGAGCTTTCATACTCTCACATACGATGCGGAAGGGCGAGCGATTGTCGACTTGTAGGATTTGTAATTCGCATAGAGCATGAGAAGACCACACAGGTTCCGGCAGTTGCCGGGGAACGCACTAAGTGATGGGGGCGGCATGATGCGTGGAGCGAGAATGAAGAGAAAGAAGATTTGGTACAAAGTTAGCTCGTTTCGTTCTGTTGATTGAGCCAGCGTGGCAGATCTGATCTTCACCGCACCATATTCCGATATACCTGATGTTTCTTATCCACCGTTACAAGCCCAATGAATCGGCCCGCGTCAACCGACACGCACATAATCTCATCCTTATTGAGCGTACTCCCGAGCTACGCAAGGAGCCATAAATGAAGATACTGTGGTGGGCCAAATTGGGACGGCTACGTCTGGAGGAGAGGGCCAAAAGGGTTGGAAGATGGGGACTCGTCGGCTAGGCCTTGAGAGACGGGAGCTTCAAGTTTCTGACCAGAAGTCTTGCTCGCGATCATGCTCACCCCACCCACAACTGCTATGTCTTCCATGCATTTTGTAATACCGGTCTCGCTCGTAGACTGAGTTCTCGATGGCGTGGAGAACAAAGTAGAACGTGGGGTTGGTAGAGAAGACGCGTCACAGTTGCAGTGCTTCGGCTGCGGTAATGGTACGTATGAAGAAGCCGTAGTCCCTGGCAGCTTGTCTCCAGAGTCTTGGATCTCTGGAGAAGATGTTTCATCTTCACAGATATACTAGGCCTGCTTGAGCTTTGCGGTCAAGTGGTGCCTGCTAGCATATGGCGAAGGATGATCTTAGGGCAGCCTTTGCTTGGAAGGACGGAACTTTCGAGGCGCATGTGGTAGCAGTAGTGGATTGTTGCGTCTGGTGGAGGTGGTAGGCGGAGTGTCGTTTGAGTTTGTTATGTCACTTTGGCGTTTGGAGGATTGATAAGGTGATGGGCGTTGACTGTCAGAGGAGAAAGACGCGGACATTGTCTGTCAAATCCAGTCCATTATTACTAAAGCCGTCCGTCTATGGCAAACACTACATACGACGAGCGTGATGGTAGTGGAGATCCAAGATGGCCATATCTCGATGATTGCTGGACGAATTGGTCACTGCCGCCTAACGAGGCCATTTCGGTCTAGTCCGTCCCTCGCAGCTCCTAGAGTCTTCACGTACGCCGCCGTTCCATCTTATCTCTTCCCCTAGCGAAATCTTTCGTTTCATCCTAGTCCAGCTTGTGATCTAAACAGAAAGCGAAAACCTTCTGAGAGCTGCGGTCGTCGCGCAGAACGGGTACCTTTCTGGTCTGCAGCCGCGCCGAATCGCCAGGAATGAACTGATCGGACTATCTTGGCGGAAGAGCGTTGGTCGGCTGGTGATGCTGTTGAGGTGCGGCCGGAATGTCCTTAACTACACTCGTCGAAGGATGCTTGAATGCGTATGAAGACACAATAACACGGAGTGTTTTGCATTTCATCTCTGCACTCGTCCCCTAGGCGGCTATCGGAGCAGTGCCCGCTTTTTCGGCGCCGAACCAAGTCTACAAAGCTTACAGACTCGATGCAGATTGGAACAACGCAACCTCCCAATGTTCTAGGCCACAACGTGCTAGACGATGGAAGACGTGGGTAATAAGATCGTTCATCGAGGGGCAATCTCCCACATAATAAGGCCACAGACCTGCTCGGGCGTGCTTTTGCGCTGCTGATTGTCAAACGGCCAACCTCGGTCAAAAGTCTTGGCGATAGTCCACGTCGATGTTGGGCAGATTCTTTTCACAACTCGCATGGCCTCCGAACTCAGACACTTGTGCAATTTGGGGGAGTGCAGGATGGAAAGTTCGAGACCGAGCGGGAGGATAATCGTAGGATCGAAGCATAGAGATGGGAGGCTCCGGGCCATAGCAGAAATTGCCACGACACTGATGCCCCCCCTCGGCAACAGTCTAGGTCAGTGCTTGCGACTAAATTTGGTTGTGTCTCGCATCTTTCCTTTGACAACTGAAGCTTTAGGAGAGGGGCCGAAGCCAACGATAAGAGAAGCGACCTAGAGATATCACGATGGTAAGTATCTCTGCTGGCAAGTTCAACGGAAGGGGTCAACTTCCCAGCGGACAGTGAGAGCCTCGCGGATGCTGCGCTGTGAGGCCCGAGTTTCGTGCTCGGCGAGGCCAAAAGCTGAGTGGAAATCCTTGCGCTTTGAGGTTGTCTTGACATCGATGAAGAATGATTGTTGTAGGCGATGGTGCTGCTGGAGCTGTGATTGGAGTTGTTCAACCAGAGAAACGCGAAGAGAGAGGGGAACTTAGCTTTGGCTGTGAGTTCAGGAGCAGGTCGGGTGACTGGTAGTTCTGCAAAAAGCGTCAACAGCGAGACGATTCTCTTGTAAGATCCGACAGTGGATTGATGGAGTAGACCTGCTCAAAGTCGACGCCGAAGCCCCTACGGGTGGCCAGCCCGTGAGGGCTTCGGCGTCGACCTCGAGCAAGGAAGGTAGGTGTTTGTGTGATGTGGGAGACTCAGCTTTTCCATTCCGACGTTGAGGTCGGCAGCAGCGGTGCCGAGATCGGTTCTGAGGAGGTATCGAATGCCGTGAACGGGAGTTGTTGCTTGATTGTTCGCTCGATGCGGAGATGTTGCTCGACTGTTCGCTCGATCGGAGTGGCTCGGGCTCTGCAAGAAGTGCGTCAGCTCGTGTGTAGGCGCGCGGCACTGGTGATGGCGGGCTGGGTTCGTGTCGGCAGATGCAGTCCGGCGGGCGGGTTGATCAGGCCCTCCGCTCTCCTGTTGATCTCGACTAAGGAAGGTGATGGGTGCGGTTGTTGGCTGGGGGAGACTCAGCTTGAGAGACTTCGTTCGAAGCGGATGCTGGCTGGCCGGGCACGGGTCGTGCGAGAGGTCACTGGCGGCAAGGGCTGCAGAGTCATGTTAGCGGGCTCGCACGAAGAAGACGGCGGTGAGCTTGTGCGGTGGGCAAGGTGCGTGGTAGGTAGGCGGATCCGACTCGCCGAAAGGTGATCAGTCTTTCAGCTGCATCGTCACCGCCCACCGCGACGCCGGAAGTGGTGCACAGGTGAGACTTAGCTGAAGATGCCGCCGGGGCGGTAGGGTCGATGCGAGGGGAAGCCTAGCTCAAGGCCAGGCGAGCGGATCTTGAAGAGGATGAGGCGAGTGGTGGGTGTTGGAGTGGAAGTTCAGGTGTGGAGGGAATCGAAGAGAGTGGGAGGAGGAAGAAGGAGAACAACAAACGCGCGGGGCAGGCGTCAAGCGCGAGTGAAAAGGGAAGGAGTGACAATCAAGCGGCCGTTGAAGACAGTCGCGCTGCGCTGCATGAACGCGTCAAGGAAAGCGCGGCCTCCAGTTCGTGCAGGCATTGCAATCTCGTGCGCAACGCCTCTACGCCACTCTGCAATGAATTGCGATAGCGGCGATGACCGACCGATTGCTGCACCAAGATTATCATCGTGATTATAGCACAAGCCTATGGCGAGGAGGTAGTCCTGAGTTGACCGTGCAAACACCACCAGACGCCAGCACCTGGCCTCTACCGCGACCATCGAGACTTCGCCCCGCGGCAGCATGCTCTGTGGCAGGCCCGTCATTAGCCATTTCGTCGGTGGTAGTCTTGCATCGCCCTCCCGACTTCTCTCGCTGAACTGCTCCCCCACCTGGATATCATTATCGCGGACGGCTAGCGAGAAGAACAAGTGGCGAGCGAAAGACTAGTAACTTCTCCCATGGTTAAGATCGCATCAGAAATCGCAGGGGTGCAATCCGAGCCTTCCCAGATCCGCAAGCCATGCTCTCTCGACAACCGGCGCAGGAATTTTCCAGTCTCATGGTACTTCTTCCACACTCCGAAGTGAAGTAGACACCCGAGAAGAGGGCCAGTCGAGATGAACCCGGAAAGCGCTGTGTTGTCCACAGCCAACCGTCCCGATGAAGTTTGTGGCTTGTGCCCATGATATGAAAGCTCCCATGAAGCAGCTGATGATCTTTGTTCAGCCGAACGCCAAAGCTGACAGCACGCTTGCCTCGTAGCGCCCTTCTTTGCTTTGAGATCTCGAGGATGGTGACGAATCGCATGCATTGTGGCTCCGCCTCAAGCTGTCCCAGTTTCAGATTCGCGACACTTCTGGAGAATCGCCTTGATCATCTGACGACTCCTCTGCTTCTTGGCTTCGAAGGTATGGAGAACTTAAACGAGGAGATCGCCGCAGGCTAGAGGAATATCCAGAGGCATAGATGGATGCACGATAAGTGGGAGCCACCAGGAGACAGGCGTTAGTGTTTGGTACCCATCTTGCTCGACAGATTCAGCTGGCACATGTTCAGTGATATCTCCCACTGTCACGAGATTATCGATTTGGTGGTTATTGCAGAATCGCATCTGGAGACAGTGCTCAAGCTAGTGAGCTCCTCCCACCATATTATCAAAAACAACCCCAGTGTCTCGATAACAGTTCAATCGTCTAGGAATGTAAGCACTCAGAGCTACTGTCCAATATCACTGGATCATGTTCGTCTGATCCTGAGGATCCAGCGTTGAACAGAAGTGCCACTTTGTAGTCGACTCTGTAATGAGTTGTTCAGCTGAGGACGATGTGCTGTTGTATCCACCTCCACGCATGGCACGCTACGCTTGAGGTGTTGAGGCTTTCCTTGGAGAAGTCGACGGTCACGTAGACACTGTTGACCCAAAGCACGAGTGCGGAGTAGGGCATTCTGCATCTAGGATCTGGCCCCAAAAAAACTGTGGGCTTGCTTGTATCGTTGTGATCCAAGGTTGACGATGCCAGTGGAGATATCCGTGGCCAATAGTGCATCAGGTTGTTGCTTCGATATCCCGTTACCAAGGCTCTTTCCGTCGTTCCTGTCTCGAAGAAGTCGAAATCCGACAGCGCACGGGGATTTTATGGACAGAATCAATTTCGATTGCACAATATGTCTGCCCACTTTCGAGTCCGAGTTGCTCGGAATGGGCAGAAACAGCAGACAGAAGATCCGCCCCCTGCAAATACCTGTCACCCTCCCCGCCTGGCATGATCTCCGCAACCTCGTTGCGTTGCTTCCTCCGACCACAGTAGACATCTTCGGTATTGATGTCCGTGATTACTTACCGCGAGCTAAACCAGATAGATAGCTTGGTAGAACTTGGACGAACGAGTTGATAGTGGAATGCTCTGACGTTTGCACGAAGCGGCTGCTGGGGGAGGTGGAAGAGGGAATGGTTAATGAAGAAGTTGCAGGTGGAAAGGCAGACTCAACTATTTGAGAGTTGTGCATGTGTGTGGCTTGTAAGTTGTTGCAGAAGTAGACCAATGAGATTCTGGCTCTCTGTTATTGCTGTTCACGGACTTCGTCGTTGCGCGAGAAAGATCTACCATACGGCAGAATCCAGGAGGCTGATGTTGTCCTTCGTTATCGTAATGACAAAGAAGCCCAGCCGGAGCCGATATGCCTCCCGAGCCACATGTGTTCAGGCGCAGATCTCTTCTAGCCGCGCGAGCGAGAACGAGTCGGGAGAAGATGTTGCGTGTCTACGAGCATTGAGTTTGTCTTCAAGAGTAATATGGCGCGGACCAGACTACAAGCGCGTCTGTTTCGAATCTAATTGGGGACCTAGTGATGCTTCCAGGAAGCTATGACGAAGACTGTTACACCTCAGCAGTGATTCAGGCAAGTAAGAGAAACAGCCTACGTTGAGGTTATGAAAGTTGTGCACACGTCAAGTTACATGGGTGGCTGTCTCATCCGCTTCCTTGCATTGGCCCGAAACGCAACGAGGTCGAAGCGCATGTCTTGCTGCTCACTTCCAAGGCTGCTGTGTGCACCTGTACGCGCCGTTGAGAGAGAGCAGGAAAGGCATAATTCGATCGTCTCGAGATCCGCAGCATCGATGCCTGAAGCCCACGAGAGTGATTGAGGAGCTGCAGTGATACAGGAATCCGAGGTCATCGCATGGAAAATGCTGGCGCTCCGCATCTGCAACATCCTGGACTGATTGCTCATCGTCGAAACTTCGGAACCGCGGCGTGCAGGCTGTCGGTGCAGACATGGCTTCAAATCACTTTGGAATTGATGCGAATGGCCTCGGACCTCTTAATCATTGAGGGATACAGCGCTACGGGAACTATCTTGGATCTGTCCGTGTCTAATAGTGGAGCTGGTCAGCGTTGTACTCCCACCGCCCTTTCTCCCAAATGTGACACCAGACGTCACGACGGTGGGTCTCGAGTTATGCACACGCTTGATCGAGATGTTGGCGCGAGATGGACTAGTGTTCGGAAGGTGTTGGCTGTAGGGCGCTTCGAGAAGAGGTTCACCAGGCGGCAAGCGGCAAGCGTGAGTTGGCTTCGGGGAGAAACGGGCGGCGGCGTAAAAGTGGTCGGCGTGGGTGTATTGTTTCTGGTGGACCTGCGCTGCGACGCCGTCGTGTCGTCGCGGCGGTAGGGCATCGATGATGACGGCCTTGAGCTCAAGAGCGGCGGCGTCGAGGCAGGTGACTGCGGTGGAGTTGCAGGCGACATGACATGGTAGTGCTGAGGAAGAGATGTGTGAAGGACAGCGAGCTGGGTGACGGTGGACGTGGGCTTGGCGGTGGAGTACAGCGTCCGAAGTATGTCCGAAGTACCGAGGTGGCGCTTGAAGACTGTACTTTGATCAGAGACAGCACTCCGCAGACCCTCCGTGTTCGCCCATCTTGATACTCTCTCGTGCGAACAACACGCCCGCAAACTGTCCTCATTCATGGATTTTCCATGGCCCACCATACCAATTCCACGGATGAAGGTTGTGCTGCAGCAGAGGTCGGTTCCCTTGCAGAGAGCGTGCGAATGTGCAAGAATACAGTTGTGCTGCTTGCAGCACCCCAAAGTCCCTCATCCCCAGTCGTGGACCGCAGGATTTATAACTCGAGACTGGAAAGAGCATTTGTTAGTCACTTGTGCTCGGTACCGACTGACCAACTGCCAGAGCTGATCGGGTCTCACAATCCCAGCAGACCACCTGGCGTTTCCCTGGCCGCCGCTCAAATGATCACTGAAGCTGAATCGACATGAGTGTTCGCATATACTGTGGTTTTGTATCAAGTCTCCTCGAGATCATCATCTTCATCTGTTCAGGTTTGGAGCTCACGATCATGATGATCCTCAGATCAGTGGATGTGTCCCTGGTATTCGCCAATAGTAGAGGCGACCTTGACGTTAGCCGACTGCTCGTGTCGAATCACAAAAGGGTATGCCAACTGGGACTCTATACACTGCCAACACACCCTTGATAGCTTTGGACCAGCCCATACGCGCAGCTACCTCTGGGCACGAGACTGACCAAGCTGCAAGCTGGGCGTTGCAGCTCAGCCGACGCTTTAACGACTTACTGCTCGCCTCAACACCAACACTAAAGTGAGGGAGAAGAACAGAATCACGATTCCTGTTCAGCACTGTGCCTGCCAAATTATGGTCCTAAGCGAGATATCAGCACACGACTGCCGACTTTCGACTGCTACCAGCACTATCAGACTATAGTTGCGATCTTGAACGATGCGGCATATTCCTCAGCGACCTATTCGAACAGACGTATGTTGCTGGCAAGCCCGAAGTAGTTCGTGGCCCGAGTCAGTACGAACGTCATGACCTTAGTTTGCCATCTTAGGTCCTTTTCTCTGGACTTACTGGAACATGTCTTTGGAGCCCAATCGTTTTATCGGCGCTGGATTTCACGCATTTCGTTTCCAACATATGCATCGTCATGGCTCCTCCGCAAGATGGTCATCTTCACCATATTGGGAGCCGGCACTCCGGTTTGTCGATGTTTGTGCTCAGAGTGTTATAGCTACCGAGTTGAGCAGGTGAGTAGGTACTTATGTCCGGCGCCTTTTCCGAACTTCGCGAAGCCCAACAGAATGCCTGAATGTCGAAATGTCCTGGCGCCCTTACACTCAGCGCAGTGTTGTTGGACCAAGAGCAGGCAGAAGGCACGAGATGGCTCCCAGAGCGGCAGAGCCGACAGCACATTGTCTTCTAGCTCTACCGGCATCGCAGCCACTAGTCTGTATCGATCCACGCCTGGAGGAATGGCTATTCAACCAGTCTCCGAACGACAAAACGCTCTAAACTTTTACGAGACTGGTACTTGCCCAGACATCCCAGTCGACTCATGTGCTACTTTCAGCATACTCAGAAACGCCCTTTACACTTGATCTGATCAACCGTAAACTATTGCGTCGAAATTTCGAGCGTCTGCGGAGGGCAGCGCAAATCAGTCAGGGAGGGTCCACCTTAGCGACAACATCCTTGCTCATGCTGGAACCGTAGCTATATAGCTATTAGGACAGACGCAGAGCTTGGCAGACAGTAGTGAAGGGCCAAACATCGAGTTACCCAAAGTGTGTGCCAACGATGGCTGCTGGAACAGAAATATCTCCACTCAAACCCCAAGCACCAGGACACATAACAAAGTCGTCGTCACCGAAATCATTGACGTTTTACGCTGTAAGCTTGCACGACTGTCGTACAGTCTCATGAGATAAGGGAACGACTAGACCAACTTTGTCGTCTTTCACATACGGGAGGGCTCTCCTCTAATGGAATGTCAATGTTCTTACTGTCAATGTCGATGCACCACCATTCAGGGAACGGGGGCATCTCGCAAGCACAATAACGACAACAGCAGCACCAAAGCGGTTACGATGGCGGCGACGATGATGCGAGCAGCGCTTCTGCTAGCAGGAAACACTATCCTTGCCAAAAGAGACGTCTGATAACCAAAAGTCTGGCGAGACCGAGCTTAGGCACTATATATACCGGCACTATCGACTCAGCGATAGTTAACCTGGGCATAATTGACTGGCGTGCAGCTTAACTACGATGGATCCACCACGGCCCTGAATCATCAGTACTGTGAGGCACGCGAGACCACGACAACGCGTGTGGAATGGAATCAGCTCTTAAATACCAAGTGGATCGAGGTCATACCTAGGTCATAGCACAAAATGCCATCCTGTCCAAAATCGCCTTTGCGACTCGACCTATTGTCCTATCAAAAATAGTCTTTGCAAAGTACCCCCAACTTGACTGTGAAAGCGCTAGAAGGAGAGTTCCGAGGACACCGAGGCAGGTGTTCCTTCGTATGCTTGAAGACCTGTCGAGTATGGAACTTCAAAGCCGCGGTGGAGCTGCATCTTTCGGGTAATTTAGTTTCTAGGTGCCAACCATCGCTCAATGGGACACAGCTTCTCGGTCGGATCTATGACATCGCCACGCGTTAACAAGCTCGCACCCATGACGACCGCGATGGAAGTAGAAAGCTCGTGGCACAGCTCCAAGGACTCTGCAAATCTGGTACGGCGCGTCTTGGTTTCTACTTTGCCGCGTTGTCGTTCCGCCGCCTCACGCAGACGCTGCTCGTCCTCACGGCGAAGTTGTACTTCCTTGAGTTGACGACGCAGAGCCTCCAACTCATCTCGTATATCCTCTGCCATAGGAACGAGAGTCTCCTCTGACGGGGTAAGCAGCTACTGTTTGACAGCTCATTGTCCCATGGACCTGGCGGTGACGGCGCAATGAATCAACAAAACCCAGAACCTCGGTAAGGAGCAAGACAGACTGATGGGTAGGGCTACATGCGCGACGACGACGATTCTGGTTCTTTGTGCTTCGAACCGTTCTCCGAAGAGCGGTGCAGATAGCTTGCATAGTCTCTGCACATGCTGCTGAGAAGTCCTTGCGGCGGGCTGAGGCTATGCGAGTGACAGGTACACGGCTTTCGCGCTCACTGCTGCGCCACGCTGACGACTGCCTTCTTTAGCGCCCGTTCTAGTGCAGTGACAATCATCGAGTTAATACGAGAAGGGAATGGGTGAAAGCACACGAGTGCTCGATGCTGGTGGTCCCTTCAATTTTCCCAAGCAACAATGGAGGGAGCAGGGCGCCATATCGCATTAGTCAAACCCTGAGAGCTGTACGCCACATCGGCAAACTCTCTGCGATGCAGTGACAAGACCCGGACGAAAGACCCCGTCTTCCCTCATTGAGGCCTTCTTCAACAAACGAATGTGCCATACAGAAGGCCGAGTAACGCGCGCGCCGTAGTCACGATCTACTATCGGGAGTTGACCAATCCATACACACAGAAACAGAGGGAGACAGAGATCCCCGCGCACTTGGGATACTTGACTCGATGGAACCCGCGGAAGAAAATTGACACTGTTTAGGAGCTCGCAAGTATCGTTCGAGAGGCAAGCGCCAGCATTCCAAACGTGGACTTTCATCGTCGCCCTCATCACTTGCCTCATGTTCGAGAGCGTTTATGGTTCCGAGGCGTGGGGAGACGTGTTCATGTCGGAGCCGGTGCTGGTAGTACCTGTGGTGGGGTTCCTTCAATGATGGTGGGCGGAAGTGGAAGCTTGACTGTGCACGGGGTGGTGAAAGAAGTGTACTGCGTAACGCTGGGTTGGAAGACGGTGCGGGCGCTGGTGTGGGCGTTGCTTCAGTGCTATGTTCAGGTATGGCCTGGATGATCCGCCGCCAAGCTCAAAGCGCTTCCCTGCTTGAATCGTTACGCGTGGAGACGCGACGCATGGCGGGCAGGCAGGACGCGTGTGCTCTTAGAACTTTGGGGTTCAGTTCTGAGAAGCTTTCCGCCTTCAACACCGCCGCGCTCTCTGACCATTGATCAACAAAACTGCAGCGGTCTGCCAGCGCAAGCCGTCAAAAGCGCTATGAGCGACGGAATACGTGTGGCGAAGAGGCGCCGGTCAGTTCTGGCCCCCTGGCGTATTGCTGTTCCGGACACTGACCAAACGCGTAGAATCACCTCCGATCTCGTCGAAATCACCGTGGGCGAAGACAAGGGGGAACCCTTCAAAATTCAGCGCTTTTTGCTCGAAGAGAACTCCGAGTTCTTCAAGGCCGCCCTTCGCGATGAGTGGAAAGAAGGCCAAGAGAAGAAGGTCCACCTTGCAGACGACGACTGCGAGACTTTTGCAGTCTTTGAGGAATGGCTGTACTCGGGCAAAATCGGCTCAAAAGAGGGATGTGACACAAAGAAGCTTACCGCACCACAAATCTACAGAGAACAGCAGCTCATTGCCAAGCTGTACGTACTGGGAGAGAAATTGGTCGCCGACCGGTTTGCCAACTGTGTATTACGGGCGATGGCAGAGCTCTGTACAACTACCGGCTACATCGTAACATCGACAGCCATGGGCACCATCTACCGTGGCACGACAGAGACCTCACTCATGCGAAAATTTCTTGTGGACTCCTTCTACAAACACGTGGACCCGGAATTCCTCACTGAGGCCAATGCTTGGGCCGCTTGGGCGCACCCTTATCAGTTTTGGTGCGATCTCACCAGGAAGTGCCTTGCATCTCACGACCGCAGCAAGGTTGCAGCCCCCGAGGACAATATCGAGATCTACCTCAAGAATGAGTAGTCTAGTGCTTCGACGGTAATTGAAGATTTTCCATCGCTTGAACGCAGTACAGCAGGGTAGAGTGAAAGGCGTTACTGAAGGGCGGGTTGAGCCTACGCTGATGGTTCTGAGAATGTATTGCCTGTCGTTGGTTTGCTGGTTCCTACTCATCTATGTAAAAGGCGGAGCACAACCAAGAACCGGATCTCAAAGCCAAACTGCGATTCTTCCTCAGTAGCTCAATGACACACGGCGCTTCCTCAAAATAGGATGCGATAAAGTTTGTCAGAACCATTAACGCATACAACAGCTTCACGGACGCGATCGGCCACCGACGCTGACATCACACACGCGTGTAGAACAAGGCCAGCTGCCTAGGAGCGTAATGCGACACTGAAAATGCGGTTGCCAAACCACAAACCCGATCGCACCGTGAGAACTGCGACCGCGACAAAGCCACCGAGCCAAGAATCCACGAGCAGCAACGGGACGATAGCAAGATGATAAGAGCGTCAGAAGATAGAGAATCGGGAAGAAGGAAGGGAAAGGAGGATAGTCAAAGCCTGCAAGCAGACAATTGCTACCTTCTGAAACACAGATGAAGCCTTTCTCTGGTCTCTGATTGGCTAGAAGGCATCGGGCGGATGCTCTCTGCGAGCGAGCGTGCGCACTCGGACATTCGAAGCCAGCAGGGGAAACACGGTGAGCAACAGCGTTGCCTGTGCCTTCGCTCGCTGCACCCACAACATCTCCAACGTCGCCACAGCCCATTGCTAGTCCGATTGCTCCAGAAGAGAGGGGCGAATGAAATTCCTCGAACAGCCACGCGGCAGAGGGACTGTTCCACACTCTCGAGCGCGGAATGCTTAGGACGATGGCATAGATCAGGACAAACAGAGACTCTTAGTGCTCGGCATCACACCTTGCCAGCACGAATTGTGTCGACCTGCGTTCGACCTAAGACGTGCAAAAGGCGATTGAGCGTGCCGATCAGCCGACTACGAGGGGATCCAAAGATCGGCAGAAATGCAAAGAGTCAGCGAAGCGCAACTTTCACAAAGAGCTGGGTAATGAGGAGAAGGACACCGGCCAGGCCACTGCAAGTGAGGGGAAGGTTTCGCATGGAGATGATGAGACAAACAAAGAGATGCCAGCACAGGAAGAGCGCTTCGGCGATGGCTATCGACCAAATAACAAGCAGATGATCCCGGAAAGTTGGAACGTGGACGAGGAAACGCTCGAGTCTGTGACTGAGGATCGGAAAGAATGATCGCAGCATTATCTACGATTGACTGACAGATCTCCTGCCAGCCCACAGCTATCACGGGAGCCGGGCGAAACGGCTGAAGCAGGCAGGCTGGGCGAAGCAGGTGTAGTCCTTACCCAATTCGAGCCGGAAAATATACATGAAACTGCCCAGTCATGGGCATGCCAAGTCTGTCTGGGCTGGTGGTACGCGGATGGAGTCGTGGCAGACACACCGACTGGAGCCGCTGCAGGGCGAGGAAAACGTCAACAGCGAACCAAAGAAGATATCGAACTCTATCGTCGGCATGCTCGGGTAAAGGCCAATTGACATGAACCGCGTCATCAACGAGCTATGCACGATGCATGTTCAGCTTAGCATGATGGAATTTGTTCAGTGAAACGACAGCATCAGCAACCACCCACGCATGAGCCAAAGAAGGCTCAGCAACTAGGGACAAGCAATGGAGCGTAAAGTGAGCAGAGAAGGCATTGGCAAAGCGAAAATTGGGGCCTATGGACTTTGAATTCAGAAGAGGTTCCAGAGTTGCCAACGACTTGACGCAGATCGGATCCCGCGACACCGAATGGCGCCGTCAGCAACAGCGCAGCTAGTGGAAAATGTCATTATCCACACGTCGGCGGACCATGTCGGAACGGAAGTCAACTGTGTGCGTGCAGAGGTGCCGGAATTTATCAGCATGTAGGAGGATCGCGGCAAAGAAGGCAGGGCGTTCGAGGTGCCGAGCTCACTGTGGGCAGACGACGGCACTGTGGCCAATGATCAGCAGGAGCACAAACACAGCCGTGTATGAACTGTTGCCCCACGTCTTCACCATGGATTGCAATACCACACCCGTCGCCAAGGAGTTCCTGGTGGAGGCACAGTATTCTTGACCAAGTCGGCCAGCGGAAGTTCTTTGAAAGGCCATGGCCACATCCACAGCCACAACCGTGCACTCGACGTCTGCGTATTACGAAGATTCTGCTTCGCATCCCAATAGTTTGCTGGTCGGCATGGGCGGCAACATCAGATTCGACAGTAATCTGGAGGTACGGGCACACCGCATGAACTCCCGAATAGCACGCAAAAAAACGTTGGGATCTTTCCAGGGAGTATGCTTTACGCCGCTGGAAGGCAGTGCGCTTTGCGACAGCGTTTTTCAATACAGATCTGTCGTTGATGCCGAAAATTGTGTTCGGTCTCAAGTCAAGAATCGACAGCTTGAAGGCCACACACATTTCTCACGAAGCCGACCTTCGTGACAAGACTACTCAAATGGTTCTGGTAAATCTGATCCAGTCACGCCTATCGGACGAGACACGGGCAGTTCGCGAAGCCGTCTATGTGCGCTCGTTGTCGGGTCGCAGTCGTGCTTGAGTCGATGACAGTCACTGTCACTTGCTCCTTGCCGAGCTCAGGGCGGGATTTTCTGCTCGCACAAGGTATGCTGGCGTACCGCACACGATGTCACACCGAGACAACCTCATGCGGATATTGCAGAAACATGATATCTGCGTGCGATGCACAGAGTTTCCATAAGGCAGTGACCAACCAAACGACACGACACAAGTTGGGACTGTCCACAGCTTCGAATGGTTCCGCTCTCCAAGTGCATGATTTCGTGCGAAGTGCTTTTCTCATACCGCGACTCAACGTTTCTGGTTGAAGGCTTGTGACTCAAAAGCAGGACAATAGTCTCAATTCTCACGTGTAAGATAACAATGGCAGAGCGCTTCAGGTGCCTCCGTCGAGGTAGAGAAGTGTTTCTTGATGGAAAGCCATTGAGTCGATGGGCTCGAGCTTTTCCAGGCCTCAAAGCTGCCCCGGCAGATCTGGCCCGCTCCTCCGGCCTTTCGCAATACTGTGCTACACACCCGCCGGGCTGCGTATACTCCCTTCGCCGCGACGGAGCTGGCATCACATCCATCGTGGACTTTCCGAGAAACGGCGCCAAAGTGTCGCAGGAGCGTCGTGGTCCACAAACATGTGACGTGCACTACTTCGCAACCTCCAGAGTCATCACCAATGCAGATCGTTACTGAGGCCCTGGACGATACCCTACACGGCGACTCGCTTGTTACCAAGAATTCACCATCTCCAGCATTCGTGCCGCTCTTGGACTCAGCGCTCACGACTTGAGAGTTGCATCACTTAGGCCCATCCAAAAGACTTTTGTGAGACTTCCGGAAGAATACGTTCAGGGATACGAAGATGCAATCAGAAAGCGCTTTGCACTGAGAGAAACGAGATGCAGTTTTGGAAATTTCCAGCTTGTGGTCAAAGCCGTAAAGGCAGAACTTCAGCGATTGATCCATGGCATTCCGATCATACGTCACGTTCGGATGTTCCGCTCTGTGCGGAACACATGATATGCCTTGTGGAGTACGAAAACTGGAGCTCCTTTGACTATCAGCCCATCTTGATGACATGAAAAGTTGAGCAGACCAAGATGCTCACTGAGCGTCTTGTCGCCTAGCACGTTGCAACGTCTATAAGCGTAGATCACAATATGCGCGAAGCAGCTGGGCGGTCTCCAGGGAACACACAGTCGACAAAAGCCTGCTTGAAACCGTGATACATTAGCAAAACACTACATCACATAATTGGCTGCGATCATTCACATGCTGCTTCGCTGCTCACAATCTGTTTTGGACGAGTCGAAAGCCTGATTTGCAAGGAGGATGCATGAAATGAGACACGTATAGCTCTGGCCCTGGGTTATATTTAAGAAATGGAAAACATGAGTTGTTTGGCATTTCAACAGCAGCTGTAGGCATTGGGATCCGCGCAGGGCTACGATAACACCAAAAGGAAATTTGGATACCAACGACAACGTTCCCTTTCCAAGTCTTCCGATCATTAGTACATAGCCGTGGAATCAGTCCTCCCTACCATTTCCCAGCCCCACATCCTCTTGCTCTTGCTGCATACTCAATAGCATTATCGTCGACTAAGCCCCATTCTTGGCAGCTCATATTTCTCTATACACACTACTACTGCAATCGCCCCACGCAGTCGCAGCTATTTTTTCGCCTCAGCAGCTCAATGCAAGGAAATGCGAACGGCGATCTCAGTCATCTACGACCAACGAAGCCGAGGACTTGTCGGAAGTTTTCTACTGACAGCCAAGCAGAGCCGTCGAAGCGGAATCGACACATAGCCGATATCCCTCTCTTGGCTCACAGCCGCAAAGATGTTCGCAGACAGACAGCCATGAACCAGCCAATGACGAGTGCTGGATACAGATTCTACTCATATCCAGTTCTGTGACAACGCGATGATGTTCCGTGGAAGCATCAATACGGACCATGTTCACGGAAAGGAGAAACACAATCTCGGTTGAAAATTTGCACATATGTTCCAATACTGGAATAGATTTTGTCCTCATGCATTGGCCACGCAATTTCTCTTCGCATTACAGCAACACATCTTGCAGGAAAGGTCAAAGTCTGCTAAGTTTTTGAAAGAGGACCTAGTCTCTTATCTCTGCATACGTCGAAATCTCGTAACAATGTTTTCGTAGATAATCCTCGACTTAATCATCGGGTTACGCGCCGAAGAATGAGTACCGCGGCATAGGGACGATTCTGTATGTGGAATTGTGCAATGACGCGCTTCCATCATTCATGGCTGGGAGCGAAGAGTGAAAGCAAACAAGAGCGAACACTTCTGAAAGGAGCAGCAATCGCGATGTTGAAATATGATCAAGTGGCGTAATGTTGAGTTTCATGGGGTCACGCCTTGCACCAGAATTCAGCCCTGAGTTTCATGGTGAATCTCATGGGGCAACTTCCTGCGATAGAATTCGGCCTTAAATTCGGCCTTGAATTTCATGGAGCTACGCCTTGCGACAGAATTTAGCCTTGAATTTTACGTACGAAAGTTCTCGTAGGCACCCGTGATGCAGGCTTCCTATGCTATTATGTTGTATTGCCGGAACCACGGCAATCCGTATTGCTTCTATACAGTACCAGTTACCATTGATATCAAACTTTCTCATCGTCTAATGTGATGAAGTGGCTCTTCAAGTCATACTTGCGCATCGCCTCGGCACAATGTGCAAATGCCACCTGATCCTCTACCAGAACATCTCATATCGGCTTGCCAATCGAGTTGCTGGCAGCACTTCCGACAACCTCCATGACGGGCTGACCCGGCGCACCCTGCCATCCAGACCCGGCTCGATTATTGTGTTCAGAAGCTCTCCGACTTCTTGAATGTTAGACCAGCGCTGCGGGGCCTCAGATGGCAATGTTGAATTCAGGTCTGCTGGTGGCACACTCCATGTTGTACGAGCAGCAAACACTAACGAGACCGAGTACGGCAACACCTCGTCGGAAAACAGTGATCGCCACCATCGACAGATTTCCCGTCGTTACCGCAGTTGCGGAGACTCCTGCCTCACGACGTACATCGATCGTCCGGCAGCGTGCCTGCCCTGCCACCCTGTGGATGTCGCTGTGCGCATTGCCTTCGGTCCTATTCTGCCCGTGTTGGTAGAAATCAGCCTCGGCTTATCGTAGTCATCTCGTCCGCGCGCATCTATGCCACAATCACCTTCTAGACGATAGCACTTCGAGGAGTGCCGCTCGAGGTCGTCACCGATGTTGTCCTTGACCCGCACATCACATTCGCCATGTTGAGCTCAACACCCGGCGCGATCACGTCCGCCGCGCCATCCCTTCCACCTCTCAATGGCAAGGGAAAGAAAAGTCGGCTCTCCAAGGCAGAATTCCAACAAGTTCTAGCTTGTTCCAACCTCGAATACGACTTGCTTCGTCAGCAGATGAAGTTGATCGGTCATTAGCCAATCTTCGACGGCAAAGCGCTGCTGCGCGAAAACTTCAGTAACTTCGATCCAGATGGCGCTTACTGCGCGCAATTTTGGGGTGTAGTGCAACACAGCAGCCCACTCTTCGTACAACTGTTCTCTAGCACTCGCCAGACCTGAGATTCGGCGACTTGGAATCAGTATCTCAGCAGAGCCAAAACAAGGCGTAGGTGCAGGGTTGCACGGACTGCCCGATGTTCCTTGCGCTGGACACTGCACATGCGTCGCAGAAAGCCTCGCGCTGTCAGAAGCGATGAACGCTCAACAAAGCAGTCTGGTCCTCGGCTCGCGGGTGCACGAAGAGTACACTTGCCTTTGGAGTGGAGTTGTGATGTGTGGGAGAAGCGACCAAGTTGTCGCGTGGCTGCGTTGTGTTCGGCACGTCTGTCATTTCGTTAGGCTGAAGCTGGCAAGAAGTGAAAACGGCAATGAGACAGCGTCTCCTGCAGCTGGCTGGCAGCGTCGTCACAGCCCAGCGCTTCTTGCTTCACCACCACTCTGCTTTGCCTTGCACGTATCTATCCTTCGCGGCTTCCATGCCTGAGGCTGGCTGCGATATCATCGTCACGCTCGCCTCAAATCTGGAACGGCAAGCCTTCAGCTGGTGCAGCTCATCCTGGAAATGGATCACCATCGGCGCGGAAGGTGAGTCGAGTCGGTGTGCGCCCCGTGGAGGTGCAGGGCGGAATGCAAATAGTGCTGTGCCGAGGGCGCTGTGCTGAATGTTGGTGTTATGGATCGGCCTTCACTTCACCGAACGTTGCTCATCCACGCACCGGTCAGAACTATGGTCATACACGTCGCACATGCTCCTACGCCCAGCTGATCTCACTCCTCGTCGCCTGCTCCGCGCGCCGCCTCGCACGCGTCAATGCCCTTTCGATCGCAAAAGCTTGCTTCGTGAGCCCAAGAACGGCCACTCACCCGCGATCAAGCCAGAGTGACGCGGACGAAGGGAGCAGCGTGAACGAGCTCGATTGGAGGCGCACGAGGGCTGCGAGGAGGAAGATGATGCAGGGAGTGCCGACATGACAGGACACGGTGAGACTCGGCAGGCAACAATGCGACGCATGTCACAAGGAAAATGGAGAGGAGTCAAGAACGAGCAGACTTGTAGGCGTGAATAATCAGAGGGGAAACACCACGATGAGACTAGACAGGCTACACCTCGCTAGAACGTACTGCGACTTCCCAGGCAAAGCGCACTGGATAGAGCAATCGATGTCGCCTGGCCAAGCAACATCAGACACAAGACGCGAGTGCCACAAGTCATAAAGAGAACACCCAACCCGATCGAGCCGTTGGTGGCCAAGTTTTTCTTTGCAAAGAACGTGCCGTACTCAAAGGCACATTGCAAGGTGGGGAGCGTCAATGAGAAGGTGGTTGTGTGCAAAAAAGCGCTTCTTGACCACCAACCTCCTGCGATGAGTATGCAGGGCGCCAGTGGAGTTGCAGTGCATTTTAATTCATTCACCTTTGAAAGACCACCACCAGCTCCAGACGGGCGCCCGAAAGGCACATTTGGAGCACACGACCAGCAGACTGGACGTCGGGCTAACAGGGGAGAAGTGCCAAGTCTTCGGTGTTGTTTGTTTGCAGCGCTGTCGCATGCACGCTCGCGTTGACATTCTCACAACCCTCTACCGTCCTGTGGCCGAGTGGGACCGGCGCGCCCTCGAATCCACCTCGATCTCTCCATTTCATCGCCACCACCGTTGCGATCGAAGTTCCGCCAAATCCCTGGCTCCGCATCGACACGCGCAGCGCCCAACAAGTTTTCGCAGACATGGCAAAAGCAGTGAACTGCGGCAATACACCATTTGATGAGAGCGATGACGAGCCTGTGTTCCCGGGTTACAACTTCAAAAAGCCAATCGTCACATACGCGGGATCTCGAAAGAAGAAAGTCGCAGCATTCAAAGGAGAGGCAACAAACACAGCACAAGCGGAGCCAAAGGACAAGAAACAAGGCGTCACATTTGGGGGATCTACAAATAAGAAAGACGCGACATCCGAAGGAAAGGCGCCACGCTTCGTCCGACTAGACTACACTGTGGCAAGCAACTCTTCCGCAAAAGCTGATCAAACTATCGAAGAATATCGTTGCCCTTCTGACTCAGATGAGGAAGACGACTCTCCCTGCTGCAGTATCTGCAAGGCGTCTGTGGACAGCTGTGCCAAACAAGATTTCGAGGACCTGAACGCAGGATGTATTTGGAACTACAAGACCCAAGTTAGGTTTTGTAAATGGCACTCAAGCAAGACCGCACGGGAAACGTGGCGCCAACGAGGCTACCCTGAACTTGATTGGAAGTACCTCCCGGCACGTATGCACAGACACCTAGACTTCTTGTCGGAGGTTCTGAATGGCCAGGTTGAGTCGTATCATCGCGCCAAGTTACAAGAGCAGCAAGGATCACACCACATTGGGTCAAAGGAGAAACAGGCTGCAAAGGTACGGAAGACACCTAAGTCTCGTCGTGGCGCAGCGTCGGAATAGCAGCTGATCGAGCGACGCCAGTCACAACAGATGTTGAAAATGGCCGATAAGCCAATAATGGGATACTACGGCCCCAAGGGTGAACGTGTCATGTAAGTTTCGGGCCATTTTCCCACAACAGCTTACCACTAACCTTGTTTAGTACCGCCTTCGTTACTGAGAATCTCGCGAGAGATCTCGCCATACATTCTACCCAGGACAAGATCTTTCATGCACCAGGCGTACAAGGCGGTGTATGCACTGTTGTCGAATGGGTCCTGGCTCCCCACATGGTAGAGCTGCTCGTCAAAGAAGATCTGAAACTCATGCAAAGCGATTGGGACGCCCACGCCCGAGCGATCTTGGCTGACAGCACAGCAATTGGGGAGTTGTTGTGTCTGGAAGACAATCCCTAATCGACGTAAAATTGGCGGAAGGGTTCGTCTAGATGACGCTTCTTGGCTATTCCAGCATGCGTTCGCTTCAACTCTCTTGCCAAAGTTCAGTCTAGTTTGGAGCTTTCGCGTGATCGTTTTAAGAGCGGAAGGTGGGTGGCGGGATGTTTGGTCCAAAAGGCTTTACACAACCCATGTGGATGACAAGGCAAGGTCGATCGCAGATTGCATGCGTGGCAGGGCTGATGAGACAGATGAGAAAGTATGGGCGGACACTGGTAGGAGGCATGCTGAAGTCTATCGTGCTCAACCCGACTTCATCATGTCTTTCAGCAAAGCTTTTTCGTTTTTCGTTCGCCGTCTACGAGCTGCATCTTATCCAACACGTTTCCAAGTTTTCCAAAAGATGAAGTACTTGCTGACTACGGAACAGCCGCAGGTCATCGAGCGCCTGTTGAGGATAAATCCAAAGAAGTGAGCAGCATACATTCCACGCACACTAACACCGCCTCGCATCGAACAGTCGATGCCCGCTCAGAGCCACGCCCGTCTCGGCCGACCAGATTGAGCTCCGAAGGGGTGTCGAAAAGCGAGTTGCAGCGGCCTCTTTTCCGACGATTTTTAAGCAGCGTTCCATCTTGGACTCTATGTGATGAAGAAGCAATCTCCTTCGCCCCACACTGTTTAGCTCCACGCCTAGCTCGCTTGCGTTCGAGGAGAATATGGTTAGCAAAACTCTGTCCAGCATATTAGCCCACTGGCACATCAGCCCTGGAACCGTGCTGCAGGCTTTTGGCTGCAGGCCTAGTCCTTTTCTGCATCAGAGTGGGTTTACTGTACTCTGAGCTCCCCTCCAAATCCCTGTTTTCCTGTGGGTCCTGTTGTGCAACATTTGATGTTTTGCTTTGGATCGCAGTCTTCCGTTAGTGCCAGGACTGGCTTGTCCATTGGTTTCCTGGCTTGGCTCAGGTGGTTCCACCTTTCTCCTCTCGGGGTTTCCCAGGATTTTGTTCTTCTGCATTTGCTGGAGTCGTGCTTGTCCTTCCGTGGAGGTAGCAACCACACAAAGGGTGCTTGGGTCAGATCTGCAGGGTTTGTTGCTCTGGCTGCAACTGCTGTTGGTTTAGCCTTTCTGGAACCCGACGTCACTGGCCGACTGTCAATGATAGCGAAGTTTCCCATGGAGATGGAGATGGCGAAGGCCACTGCTCGGCCCGATCCCATCCACGAGCGAGGGTCCTTCACCGTCAACAGCGGGCATCATCTTCCTCTATCCCACCATGCTCCACACCAACACCCTCCCTCGATGTCTCGACACCGTGATGCGCACGTCCGCGGCACACAGCCACAGTGCATTCCACCTTCGGCCTCGCCACGAACCAAGTCTCGTCGCAGCACGTTGATCTTTCTGCTGCCGCAACGTCTCACCATGATTCACGCCCGATCCCAGAGCCATGACAAAGACAACATGTCACGATTTTCGATCAACAATGCCTCCTTGGCACATGGCATGCCCAGGCTAAATCACGATGCCTCCGCCGTGCCCTTGGCTGGCAGTGAGCTGTATGCCAGAGACAAGCGCAGTCATGTACAGGCACACGACAATGCAAATTCGTCCCATGCCGCACCTGCTTCTGGGTGGCTACTTCTGGTCCCAAGAGTGATGATTGATTCTGTCTGCGCAGCAAGATAACATTGCAGCATTGCACTCATGGACCAGGAATCGTGGTCAGTAGCTCTCAATGTCAACATCCTTCACTCATGCGGCTCAAAACAATCCACACCAGCTACACATCCTCAGACGCGAGCCATATCTCCCGCTTGCAACACTCCGATCCACTTACATTAGCCATTATCCCCACATCTTAGCAGTCCAGATTCTCCGCCGCCGTCCACCCTTCCCACTATGGGCAGCTTGCGCTGGCGCCGCAAGCACAAGGTCACTACTTCACCATCACTACTTTATCACTACTTAAAGCATGCACTGCTGACATGCTCTTCATCGACCGCGTCGTGGCTCCTCCGACGGATACTCCGACGAAACTTTCAATGACCTCCGTCAGCTTCGCCACTCCTCTCATCAGCAAGCCGTGAGCGAGGACCACACCAGGTACAAGATCATCTTTGTCGACCCCTCAGAGCAAGACACTGCTGATGAACACCCGTTTCGTTGGCCACTCAAGACCAAGAATGCGAATCTCATACACGTTGTCAATAGGTATGCCCTCCTACACCTGCGATCTTTGCGCTACCCCTAGGATCAAATCTGACATCACTCCTGTATAGCCGCTACTGCTCCTTTGCATTTCCTGTTCCCAAAGTCCTGCTTCGACTCCACAGGGTGGCCTACCTCTGGATTGTGGCATCGAAATCGCCGACATCTGCATCAAGAAGTTAATCTCCTGGTAATCGGCAGCACCCTAGTCAGCAAGTATTTCGAAGGCCGAAAGAAGGTCTACGTTCCAAAGGTCCTTCCCGATTGGGCCCAGAAGAATTTCTCATACGAATGAGTCAGAAACGGTCGCCTTGGCGAAAAGAATGCCGGGTTGAATTGCGCTACGAGAAGACCAAGAAACATCTCGCGTATTGGTGCTACTCAGCTGTGTCCCGAAGTCATCTCCTATGTTATCGAAGAAGGAGCGATCACAAGACGTGCTGTGAGGAGGACTGGAAATATATAAGGCTGACGACAGGGGCGATGGCGAAGGCATCGGTGGAGCCATTTGCATAGGTCTCCTTAAGGAAGACTTGTCATGTTCTGGGGAACAGTCATCGGATCACGAGACATGTGAAGAAGAGCCGGTAATTGAGAAGAAAAGGAAGTGCAAGAACAAGCGCCGGGCTGGCAAGCATAGCACAGTCAAGGCCGCCAAAGACGAATCCGCTAAGGTCAAAGATTGTGAGCTGATCGTCAGCGATACTCTGCTGGGGTATTCGTCCGAGGATGACTCCTGATCCAGAAAAAAGTTTCATAAAGAAGAGCTAGTGATCAGGAGGAGAAACAAGAGCAGGAACAAATCGCGGCGATGTCGGGCGTTCTGGACTTGGAGGAAGTATTGCAATGTTGAGGAAGGTTCGCATATCGAAGCCTATGACTCAAGGTGGATGCCGTCAAAAGATGTCGAGCGGAACATGATGGCCTGTGCAGCTGATACGCCACGAGAAGCTGTCGTGGGACAGGTGGTGGATAGCTGAAGGCTGACGCTCATGCGTGCTGTTGCTGTCAACTACGAACGAGCTCTCTTGTGACCGTTGGTTCATCAGTCCCATCAAATAGTTGGACGGATCACTTCCCAATCACGACTTTCTTGACAGTGGCATGCATTGTGGCTACTGAACATCACGGTCGAACACATCAAGGACGAAAGAAATGCCGCAGCAGATGGACTTTTCAGGCCCCATTCAACAAGGAATGCAAGATCAGGGAAGACACTAGGCTTTTCTGGGAAGAAGCTACCGGGAAAGCGGAAGAAGGAGCATGATATGTTGGCACAGCTTCGAGAGCCGGAGGAACAGAATGAGGAAGCATGCCTAGTGCTGAGCTAGGACCACGGAGACTCGGAAGAAGACGAAGAGAGGCACGATATCAGTTGCATATGGAGGCCGATGCGGACCAAGACTGGACGGCAGGAGGCGCATCAACGAGTCAAGGGCCGGGTGGAACGAAGAGCTGCCAGAAAAGTTACCACAAGCATGGCACATCAACGAGCGCACATCGTTCCGGTCTTCACTGGATTTCTCGGTACTCACTGCAACACACCCACAAACTCGCCGCCAGCAGCTGTGGCTGGAAGTCTGTTTCCTATCAACGCATCCACTGCGCCCTGATTGTCGAACTTGTGGCATGGTGGCGAAGTACGGAGCAGAACTGTTAGGATGAAGCCGTCGATGTGTATGAGGGTGCGATCTGCTTCGAAGGTTTCGATCCGAGCATGGAGATTTGTTCCTCTTTTGATTATCGATACTTGAGACAGATTGTCAAAAGACGATCTCAACTTCTCCATACCTATTTGGTGGATCTATACTCCATTCGAAGGCGCGATCTAAAAGCCTATTCAAGCATGGTCAAGGACCACCGTTTCCTGCCCGAGCATGGCGAAGCTCCGAGCATGCAAATCCTTACTCAAGGTGGTATCGACACACATCATCCAATCGAATTCACAGCCGCCTGCTTCATGTGCCCCGTTCAATTCATTTCGTTTGATCCTCAATCATACCAAACATCTCTCACTTATCTGCACCAGCTCCTCCAGTGAACTCTTTTCTTGGAGTGTGCCTCTCGACGAGCTGCTCTTTCTCGGACGTCCTCTGCTCCGTCCACCGACTTTTTCTTCTTGCCTCTGGGCCCAGGACTCTTGCTCGCGCTGCACTCGCTCGGGGCGTCGGCGTCGTCCTCCATACTTTCTTCGAATCTTCGGTGGAGGCATCCTCGCTCTTCTGTTGATGATTGATGGCAATGCTGTAACCATTTGTGTGTAAGACGATTTTCGCCGTCATATGAAACGTCTGGCAGAGTTCCTCTCGTTTCCAATCACGTGCAGTAGCGCTGGCCTGGTCCTTCGTGCTAGTCAATGGCTTCGTGCTCTTGTCTGTTCAGGCAGTCTCGCTGTTTTCGTGGCCCATCACCAAGGTCCGGCCGCTGCTTGAACTCGATCGTCGTGTGGCCGTGTTCGACGTCGCATTGAGTGCGTTCGCGGTCCTTGGTGTTCCGGTCCATACCGTGACTGCCGAGGAGAAAGGGCAGAATATCGCTTCTGCTTCGTATCGCTGCGGTGTCGTCAACTTGAGCTGGTTATCCGTGGCCGCCTGACGCCAATGCGCAAGCTGTGCCCTTTGGACCACGTGTGGCGTCGTGCTGTCCTCCGTCTTCTCCTTCACTTTCCTCGACTGTCCACGCTGCTGGAAGGCTGGTCATGATGGAGATGCTGAGCGGTGATGGAGGTATGTCGAGTGTTGCGTTGCAGATTCACGCAGAATGCCCAAGGAAGAGAAGGCACTGCTTTGATGCCGAGATTAATGCTCAAATGGGCGCTTGAGAGCTGTGGACACCTGAACTTGAACAAATTGGCAATCCAGCGCTTCGAGGTCGCCGCAGCGCCGCCATCGACTTGCATTCGCTCCCGAAGCCCGTTCAACCACTTTCTGCACCAATGCAAGGAGAAACATACGTATGATGTCTGCTGCTGCTGTTCGCGCCGATGCTGACTCGCCGGGAAGAAAACCGCCGCGGCTGTGAGCAACAGTCAGCGCCTGGAATAGCGCA